GCCAAGGTGGGAGGATGACTTGAGCCCAGGAGGTTGAGGCTGCAGTGAGTCCTGACGGTGCCACTGCACTCCAGCCTGGGTGACAAAGCAAGACACTGTCTCAAACAAAACGAAACAAAAACCAAAACCATTTACTACATCAAAGTACTTCGCCTCCATAGATAAAGGTAGAGGGAGGATGTCACTTGACTACAATTACATCCTTGGCCCACCTGATTCCTACACCAGTCAGGCAAAATAAACTCCTTTCCCCACAACACGTGAAAATATAATTATCTATCTAGAAATGACCAGGAAGATGTTATAATATAAGAGAGGCCAGGAAGCTACAAAGTAAAGTGCTAATATCACAACCACGTTTTAAAATAAAGAAGACAAACTGACAGTTTGAACTGTCATTGAGAAGGCAACACGTATTTCGAAGTTAGATTTCATCAAGCTTGGTGACTTCAGACTCTGCCGTTTCTGGAGCATCAGCGCTACCACGGAGTGTGACCTTGTGCGTCAGGTGAAATGGTAACTTACGGGGTGAACTTGCATTAAAGAATGCCCTACTCAATGTACCCAGGGTTTGGGTGACTGAGAGCATTTTCAAAAAGCATTTTAAGTTTGATTTTAAACTTAAAATCAAAAGCAGGACACGTAGGGAATCAACCTACACTACCACAAATAGAGGTAGCTAAAGTCAGAGTATCGAGATAAAGTAGATGTTCAGTCCCGCCTAGGATAGATGCACCATGTGAAAAGGAGGGCATAAGTGACAAATGTATCTGTGTACATATAAGCATGCCTAGATCATATGTATAATACGTATAAAACACATGTGTTTTATGTGCAATCAGGGAAATATGCATGACGTTTGGTCAAATGCTCAGTTCCAATTCCAAACGTTTTTGAGTGGCAAGAAGAATTGATGACTCTTCATTTCTGAAGGGGAGGCACGAAGGGACTCATGAGGATGATGACAAGTCATTGGCTTCTTGTTGGTCTCCATCTCTTTCCAAACATCAACAGTTACTCAAGTTAGGAAAACTGAGCAAAGAACTCAGGCCTTACATTTTCCTTAAACACTCAAGTATTTTAAAAATGAGTATTTAAAATAGAATGGGAAATTCATTTTGAGTTTGGCTAATCCCCAAAGTAGAAAAGAAATGATTTTCAGAAATCTGATTATTAATATAAGACAGAACCCAAACAAGGAAAATAAGAGTGGGAAAGGAGAGAGAAAAATGAGAAAAATTCCTTGTCTAAGATGGCAAGTCTTCACTGAGATGGGTTAACCATTCTTTCAGAGTAATTTTATTTATTTATTTATTTATTTATTTATTTATTTATTTATTGGGACAGGCTCTTGCTCTGTCGCCCAGGTTGGAGTGCAGTGGTGCGATCTTGGCTCACTGCAACCTCTGCCTCCTGGGTTCAAGCAATTCTCCTGCCTCAGCCCCCCCAAGTAGCTGGGACTACAGGTGCATGCCACCACGCCCGACTAATTTTTGTATTTTTAGTAGAGACAGGGTTTTGCCATGTTGGCTAGGCTGGTCTTGGACTCCTGACCTCAGATGATCTGCCCACCTCAGCCACCCAAAATGTTGGGATTATAGGCGTGAGCCATGGTGTCCGGCCCTCTTTCAGAGTAATTTTAATTAAAGCTATTTTTTGTTAATTTTGAATGGATAATATTTATAGATAGTAATAAATTTGAACAGAAAAAGTCTATCTAAATAGAAAAATCCTCCCCCTTCCCACTTACCCCCAGCCATCTAGGTGGAGATCTAGAAGGCAACCAGTTTAACCAGCTTCTTGTATATCTTGTGTATCCTTCTCAAGATGATCTATGCACAATCATATATATGGCCCTCTTATTTTATCCGAATGGGAATCGGAATGGGATATACTGTTCTCCCCTTGACTTTACCCTCACTTAAATACACATCTTACATGGACTGAAATTTAAGGTATCAGTATGAACTTGTGATTTCTAGAATATTTGTAATTACAAATATGTACATGTATATGTGCATATACATGCATATATTTACAGCTGCTGTCTGCTGAAAGAGCCTACAAACAAAGATACCAAGTAGTAATAGCACATCTTGCATCCAGATCTTGGACTCTAATACTTTTCAACACCAAAAGGAACCAGGGCTCTTGAGAGAAATGGCTGGTAACAAAGCTGGATCAGAGCATGCCTGAGAGGGGCCTAGATGATCACATTAGGCCAGAAAGTAAGGAAGTGCCAAAAAAAACATGATAGGGACATATCACAAGGACACAAGAGTCAGCTTGAAGGGGTTCCCGCTGGCCAAATCTGGGACAGCCGGAGCACCACAATAATTGAGAGCAGCAATGAATTACAAACCACTGAAAAACTAAGAATCCAAAACTATAATATACAAATAGGGGAGAAGGGAAAGCTGTAGCTTACAGTAAAATACCATCATTTACTGATTAGTAAATGATAAGAGTGCTGGAGTTGAAAAACCATTATTCTGCAACCAATAAATAAAGGTTGTTTCAGGCAAGAATCTTCAATGGATATTAAAGAGAGATTGGACTTTTTAGAGGAGCAGATATTTGCATGATCTTAAAGCGTCTCTGCAAAGATTATTAGTTGCGAGGGAAAGAATCTATTTAATATTTGGGAAAGTGGACAACACTTTGACTAGGGGATCAAAATTCACATCACCAATAGGGGACAGACGAGCACCGTGGGCTTCCAGGCAATACTCCGAGAAGGACATGTATCACTTAAGTAGCATAAAAGACGAAGAAAGGGCTGGATGCAGTGGCTCACGCTTGTAATCCCAGCACTTTGGGAGGCCAAGGTGGTTGGATCACCTGAGGTCAGGAGTTCGAGACCAGCCTGACCAACATGGTGAAACCCCGTCTCCACTAAAAAAAAATACAAAAATTATCCGGGCGTAATGGCAGGCGCCTGTAATCCCAGCTACCCAGGAGGCTGAGGCAGGAGAATCACTTGAACTTGGGGGGCAGAGGTTGCAGTGAGCCAAGATCACGCCATTGCACTCCAGCCTGGGCAACAGAGCAAAACTCCATCTCAAAAAAAAAGATATGGAACACTTCCTAGAAAGTTCCTTTTGTCTCCTTCCAACTAGTCTCCACCACCCTCATCCCTAACAGCAGCCACTGTTTTGATTTTCTATCACAACATAGTTTTGCCTATTCTTGAACTTTTCCTAAAAGGAATCATAATCATACTGCTTAATGTCTAGCTTCTTTCTCTCAAGAGAATATGTTTGAAATGTATCCATGTTGTTGAACGTATCAGTACTTCACTCCTTTTTATTGCTTAATAATATTACATTATATAAATGTGCCACAACTTATATACACTTTTCCGTTGACCAGCTGATGGACATTCCTGTGTATGTCCTTTTGTGAATTTGTGTTTTCATTTCTCCTGGTTGGGTCATAGGTTAGGTGTATGTTTACTTTTAAAGAAACTATCAGTCGGGCACAGTGGCTCACGCCTGTAATCCTAGCACTTTGGGAGGCTGAGGCGGGTGGATTACTTGAGGTCAGAAGTTCAAGACCGGCCTGGCCAACATGGTAAAACCACATCTCTACTGAAAATACAAAAATTAGCTGGGCGTGGTGGTGGGCACCTGTAATCCCAGCTATTTGGGAGGCTGAGGCAGGAGAATGACTTGAACACAGGAGGTGGAGGTTGCAGTGAGCTGAAATTGCACCACTGCACTCCAGCCTGGGCAACAGAGCAAGACTCCATCTCAAAAAAAAAAAAAAAAAAGGAAGAAAAAAAGAAACTATCAGCTGTTTCCATTGTGGTTGTACCATAACTTACCACTTTTATTGGCTACAAAGTACACTGATTGGGTAGATAATTATTTATTTAACCAGTCCCCTATTGTCAAGTATTAAGTTATTCTCAATCTTTTACCTTTATAAACAGCTTAATAATGAACATTGCTGTCTAAGCAGCTTTGTCCAGATGTGTGAAAATATCTATAGAATAACTTTACAGGTGGGTGAAAGAGGGTGTACATTTGAATTTTCTATAAATACTGATAATTAATCCTTCACATTGCTCATTACCAACTCCATTCCTACCAGCAAATTATAAGAGTGCTTGTTTTCTCATATCTGTTTGCCAAAGTTATAGGTAAAATTTTGAATCTTCTAGTTTTGTTTTTTTCTTCTGAGAATCACAATGTTGACTTTTTACTTTAGTTTCCTGTATTTATGTCACCCCTATATTTCAGATCTGTGTTTTGTTTCACCTGTACAATTTAGCTTCCTCACAAGTCCCTTTCTATCATTTTAGACACCACCTTCAGACGAATTTTACCGTGTCACTCCCCAGGTAGAAAACCTTCCCTGGCGCCTGGTGTGGTGGCTCACACTTGTAATCCCAACACTTTGGGAGGTCGAGGTGGGTGGATCACCCAAGGTCAGGAGTTCAAGACCAGCCTGACCAACATGGTAAAACCCTGTCTCTACTAAAAATACAAAAATTAGCCAAGTGTGGTAGCGCATGCCTGTCATCCCAGCTACTAGAGAGGCTGAGGCAGGAGAATCACTTGAACTCAGGAGGCGGAGGTTATGGTGAGCTGAGATTGCATCATTGTACTCCAGCCCGGGTGACAAGAGAGAAACTCTGTCTCAAAAAAAAACCCAAAAAAACAAAAAAAGAAAAAGAAAACCTTCCCTAGATCCCCACTGTCTACTGAATAAAATCCAAACCCTGCATCCTCACACTGAAGATCTAGTCCATGTTTCTTACTCTTTCCTCCAAAAGATTACTGTTTACGTGCTCCAACACAAATGAAGCTTCCCATGGGCCTCCGTCCAGTGTGTACTTCCCGCCTTTATGCCTTCACACATATGGTTCCCTCAGCCCAGAAAACCCTTTTCTCCCTCTCTACCTGTTGAATCTTACCTTGCCCAGAAACCCTGCCCAAATGCCATCTTCGCCAGACGCCCTAACCAAATGAGACAAGATGAAAGGTCAAGCTTACCGGCACTTTCTTTTTCAATTCATTTCGATAGTATTTAATGCCAATGTCAGTAAACGTCCTCTGGATAAAGCGAGATGGACGAAGGATGAATATAAGCTGTAAATTTCCTGGAAATGCCACCTGCAAGCATCAGGAAAAGTGTCAGGAGGAGAGAGAAAATGTCATATCCATTACCAGGGTCTACATTGGTCTCCCCTTACCCAAGATCAAGACCACTGAAGGAAAAGTTAAAATGAATGCCATGATGTAAATCTCACCAGATTTCAGGGCTGGAAGAGACCTTAGAGGTCAGATAAGCCTAACGCCTCCTGAAAAACCAAAGCTAACCAAACGAGCAAGCAAAAATGTTTTCTGATTATAAAAATGATTCATATTATTTATAGAAAAATTGGGAAATTAATAAAAGTATACATTAGAAAGTGAAAACTCACCCATGGGTTTTCACAGCCATACTTAATATTTCCATCTGTTTACTTATAGGATGTTTTCTTTGTTTAAATATCTTTATCATGGCTCATATTATTAAAATATTTTGTAACTGGCCTTTTCACTTAATGTTATACCATAGGCTTTTATTCCTGTTATTAATAAATTCTTTGGAAATATTATTCTTTATGGGTGTACAGTTTATTTAACCAATCCCTTATTGTTAATCATTTAGGCTTTTTGATAATTTTACTATTGTAAATAATGCTGATATGAACATCTTTATCCACATCTTGGAATATTTTCTGAGGCTAGAATCGTAGAATAATTACTGAATCAAAGAGTTAGTATTTTAAGTATTCTTGATGTATATTATTGCTAAGTTGCTTTCAGAAAGTATTGCCCTCATCTTAAGGCAAGGTTCTGAGCAATGTGATAGCCCAGGTTCATATAATTGCTTAGGGGCAAACCTAGGAACCCAGGTCTCCATGGGAACTGCCACGGCTTTCCATTCTTCCAGTGGTTCCCCCAAAGCAACCTCCTATGGCGCCTTTTTTTTTTTTTTTTTTTTTTAATCTAAATCAGGTCTTTACTCCAGACTATTTTGATTCACTAGGACTGGGATGAAATCTAGGTATCAGTATTTTCAACGAGCACGTGAAGAGGTTCTGGCAGGTAGCCAGATTTGGGGATCCCTGCACTATAGCATGTTTTACATATAAAATGATCAACGTAATTCTGGAACAAATTAGGCTCAGATACTAGATTACTCATGTGTTATGTATGGACCCTGGAAAGCCAGAACTCTCTAGAGGCCAGACTGGAATAGTCATGGGCATCAATCATGGCTGCAGTTATCACAAAGATAAATCCTGTATCCAAAACTAAACTAAAGGGAGAAAACAATCCATGCAGTGATGGGAGGACTCCCTTCCCCATCTTTGAATGCAAGCTCCTAACAGAAGAACCTCGCGCTTTGTTGTCCCAAGACGGAAAGTATTGGCTGAGGCATAATTTGTGAATTTGGATGAGGCTCTAGAGCAATCTGACAGGGACTCCGTGTGTGTGCATGTTTGCATGTGTGACTCCTTCTGCAAGCAGGTTTAAGTGAGGTTTCAAATGTCCCTCTCCTGTCCTGCTTTACCACACTACCACATCCATCCTCTTTAGCCAGTCCCAACTGCTCCAGAGGGGCTATGCTCAGGTAAAAATGTTGACTTAGCTGGCCCTAAGGTGTCTCTGCTTGTGGCAGAGTTCACAAGTCTGAGGTCCCTACAGAGGAAGGACACATCTACTTGCTGAAAACAACAAATAGGGTTCAAAAGCAGACTATAAGCAAAAGGAGGCCAATCCAAGGTGATATAATTTAATGCAAATGCAAGCACACCTCCCACCACGCTACTTAAATATCATTGGGTCTGTTTTTGCCATTGTCTTTCTAATATATGAATAAATAATTTGGCTAGGTGCAGTGGCTCAAGCCTGTAATCCTAACACTTTGGGAGGCCGAGGTCCACAGATCACTTGAGGTCAGGAGTTCGAGACCAGCCTGGCCAACATGGTGAAACCCTGTCTCTACTAAAAATACAAAAACTAGCCAAGCGTGGTGGTGCATGCCTGTAATCCCAGCTGCTTGGGAGGCTGAGGCAGGAGAATCGCTTGAACCCGGGAGGCAGAGGTTGCAGTCAGCTGAGATCGCACCACTGCACTCCAGCCTGGTTGACACAGTGAGACACTGTCTTAATAATAATAATAATAATAATACTGAAATAAAGACTGTCTTAAATTGAATTGCCCCCAAAGCAAATCCTCGGACACGGATTGGTGCAGGTATTTTGTCGGGGAAGTGATTCCAGGAAGCTCGAATGAGGGAATGCTAAGGAAGACAACAATGAATAGAGTGGCAATGTCTCAATGAGGTGGTTACTACTGTAGGCAAAGGGGGCTGAGACTCTCTGGGATACTGTGTGGAACACACCTCAGAATTGCCCCACTGCGGGTCTGGAAGCTGGGGTGTTTATCTTCCAAATCCTCTAACTCAATGGTCGCAGGTTACCCCTGGGGCATTAACTTTCCAGTACTCCCCACCTGCCCCTCTTCAGTGACCAGAGAAGTCAGTAGGTAGAGAGACTTAGGAAGTCTTTGACATGCTCAGAATTGTGTGCAGGTGACCTGCAGATGGCAGAGGAGATAGGGATGTGACATAACAGCACCTGTTACAAAGATCTTCCCAAAATTTGACATAAAATAATTGCCTTTTCCCTAGGACTTTGATATGAAATAGTTGAACAGACAACTTAAATGACTTTTATAATAAAAGCACAAAAATAAATATTTACGGCTATTCGTGTCAAGGACGCCTTTACAGAGCTCCACTTGTCTCTTCGTCTGTCGATAACAACAACGAATCCAATGCTGGCAGCCTCCACACTGCAAAGAAGGGTGGTCAGTGTCAGAGATTAGACCCATATGCTCCATGTGGCTCCCACAGCAGAATACACCCTGGAGCCTCCACAGCACTCCAGGCTCACCGTGTAAACACCCTGCACAGCACAACCAACTCCCTCTCCCAGTCTGAGCCTGGGAATCTTAACAAAATGGATACTTTGTCTATCAGACCCACTTAAGGACTGCCTTTCTGGCTGGCAAATGCATGAAACACCAAAGGAACACATGTGTTCAAGCCCAAAGGAATATGCACGTGTCAGGTGAGCATCACATATCCCCAGTGTAGGCAGAGGACCTCGAGGTTGAGCTCTGCCATCCTTCCACTCCCAAAGCAAACATTCATAGAGCTATCAGTACAGTAACATGCTCAGCTATGAGGCTCGAGAGCAATCTGAGAGGGAGTAAAGAGAGAAGTGTTCGGAATTAATACATGTCAGTGGGAAAAGCAACCCCGTCGCAGTGCCTGGCTATAGATAGGTCAAGACACCATATGCTTGAGAAGACATCATTATCACTAAGACCAAAAGGAAGCTGTTTGGTCCCCTCTCAAGTCCTCATGAAATTCTGACAGAATCCTTCGAAAGTAGAATTCTAAAAGTGAAAACATTTTTCTTATCTCCTTTGGGAAGAAGAATGGTACAGAGAAAAGAGCAAGGGCTTTGGAGCCTGGTTCAAACCCTAGTGTTGCCACTTACTAGCAGTGACTTACTAGCAGAGTTCACCTAACTCTGCTAAAATTCGATGCTCTTCTCTGTAAAATGACAATCATATGACCAGTAATAAGATGGTTAAAAGCACAGATTCTGGAACCAACTTGACTAGATTTGAATTCTGAATTCTATTGTGTGTGCTTTTGGGGGGTTGAGTGGTAGTTACTTAACCCCTGTAGTTTCTCGGACTCTTCGTTTGTAAGGCAGAAATAATAAAATAGTATCTATCTATGAGGTTGATACGAGGATTAAATGTGTGTGTGTGTGTGTGTGTACACATATATGTACAAACATGCAAAATGCTCAGAACAATGCCCGACACTTGGTAATGCTGTATAAGAACTAGCTATTATTCTTTCTTTCTTTTCTCCACTTCTATTATGTCTTATGTGCTTGTCACAGAGATAAAAAGAGATATAGTACATGATAAGTAGTTGGCCTAGAGTAAACCTTCAGTAACTCTCTAATATTGGGTGAAAGGTGGGCTCTACCCTACAAAAGTGTGTACATGTGAATGAGGCAGAAGGTCTAAGCAACACCTGCAAGAAAACATAAGTAGCTAATCTCAGTTAAGCATCACTGGGTTAATCGATTCTCACAGCCCCATACTGACCCAGGTTAGCTTGCTGAAAACTCATTTTAAAAGTGAAAGTGAAATAAGGACATTTGCAGGCAACTAGAGGTGAGAGAATTTATTGTCATTAGACATACACTTGAAGAAATATAGATTCAGCTGATGTTTAGGAAAATTTTCACTCCTACCAAAAACAAACAAAACACTGGTGAAGTTAAAAGCTCATATTTTTCCTTAAACATGGGAGAACTCTGAAGACAAAGAAATATAAATGAACAAATTCCAGAGAGACTTAAGACCTTCCATAGAGAGCAAATACTAAAGGAGACCTTTACATAAAGTGGTGGTTGCCTATTCTGGGAATAGGCAGGCAAATGAATGAATCTGAAGGGAAATAATCCAACATGATAACCTGATTTTCTTTTTTTTTTTTGAGACGAGTCTCACTTTGTCACCCAGGCTGGAGTGTAGTGGCATCATCTTGGCTCACTGCAAACTCCACCTCCCAGGTGCAAGTGATTCTCCTGCCTCAGCCTCCTGAGTAGCTGGGATTACAGGCATGCACCACGACATCCGGCTAACTTTTCTATTTTTAGTAGAGACAGGTTTCACCATGTTGTTTAGGCTGGTCTCAAACTCCTGACCTCAAGCAATCCACCCACCTCAGCCTCCCAAAGTGCAGGGATTACAGGCGTGAGCCACCGCACCTGGCCCAGCATAGTAACTTGAATCTGCAAGAGGGAATGAAGAGTTATGTAAACGTTAAATATGTGAATATATAGTGTATACATAGTATTATCAACTATTTTTTTATTTCTCTGAAGACTACTGACTAATCAAAGTAAAAGTAACAAAGTATTATTATAAAATAAATGACGTCACAACAATAGCATGAAGAATGGAATGGAGTAAGTAAAATTACTTTTACTTATTATTAGCCAGGTGCAGTAGCTCACACCTATAATCCCAGCAACTTAGGAGGCCAAGGCGGGAGGATCGCTTGGGCTCAGGAGTTCAAGGCCAGCCTGAGCAATATAGCAAGACACTACCTCCACTAAAATTTAAAAAATTAGTCAGGCATGGTGGCATGTACCCATAGTCTCAGTTCCTCAGTAGGCTGTTGTGGGAGGATTGCTTGAGCCCAACAGATAGACTGGGCTCAAAACAAAAACAAAAACCCCCCAAAAACAAAGTACTATTAAAACTAGTATTGGGTGAAATTAAACTATACTATTTATGTTGTATATAAAGTGGTATGAAATTAATCCCAGGTAGATTGTGCTAATTTAAAAACACATACTGTGACATTAGGAAATAATTGCTAAAAACTCAATAAAGGAGATAAACAGAATACTGAAAATATTTGAATAATTCAAAAGAAAGCAGGAAAGGAGAAATAAGGGAACAAGTCAGAGATGGGTAGATTAAAACCCAACCATCTTAATAATCACATTAATTGGAAATTGCCTATAACACTCCATTTAAAATGCAAATAGCCAATGCAAAAACATACCAAAATGTAAAGACCATCGACACTATGAAGAAACTGCATCAACTAACATGCAAAATAACCAGCTAGCATCAGAATGACAGGATCAAATTCACACATAACAATATTAACCTTAAACATAAATGGGCTAAATGCCCCAATTAAAAGACACAGACTGGCAAATTGGATAAAAAGTCAAGACCCATTGGTGTGCTCTATTCAGGACACCCATCTCATGTGCAAAGACACACATAGGCTCAAAAAAAGGGATGGAGTAATATTTACCACGCAAATGGAAAGAAAAAAAAGGCAGGGGTTGCAATCCTAGTCTCTGATAAAACAGACTTTAAACCAACTAAGATCAAAAAAGACAAAGAAGGGCATTGCATAGTGGTAAAGGGATCAACGCAACAAGAAGAGCTAACTATCCTAAATATATATGCACCCAATACAGGTGCACCCAGATTCATAAAGCAAGTCCTTAGAGACTTACAAAGAGACTTAGACTCCCAAACAATAATACTGAGAGACTTTAACACCCTACTGTCAATATTAGATGGAGACAGAAAATTAACAAGGATATTCAGACTTGAACTCAGCTCTGGACCAAGCAGACCTAATAGACATCTACAGAACTCTCCACCCCAAATCAACAGAATATACATTCTTCTCAGCACCACATAGCACTTATTCTAAAATTGACCACATAATTGGAAGTAAAACACTCCTCAGCAAATGTAACAGAATGGAAATCATAACAAATAGTCTCTCACACCACAGTGCAATCAAATTAGAACTCAAGATTAAGAAACTCACGCAAAACTGCACAACTACATGGAATTTGAACAGTCTGCTCCTGAATGACTACTGGGTACATAAAGAAATGAAGGCAGAAATAAAGATGTTCTTTGAAACCAAAGAGAACAAAGACACAATGTACCAGAATCTCTGGGACACAGCTAAAGCAGTATTTAGACGGAAATTTGTAGCATTAAATGCCCACACAGGAAAGCAGGAAAGATATAAAATCAACACCCTAACATCACAATTAAAAGAACTAGAGAAGCAAGAGCAAACAAATTCAAAATTTAGCAGAAGACAAGAAATAACTAAGATCAGAGCAGAACTGAAGGAGATAGAGACCTGAAGAACCCTTCAAGAAATCAATGAACCCAGAAGTTGGTTTTGTGAAAAGATTAACAAAATAGATAGACTGCTAGCCAGACTAATAAAGAAGAAAAGAGAGAAGAATCAAGTAGACACAATAAAAAGTGATAAAGGGGATATCACCACTGATCCCAAAGAAATACAAACTACCATCAGAGAATACTATAAACAACTCTATGCAAATAAACTAGAAAATCTAGAAGAAATGGATAAATTCCTGCACACAAACACCCTCCCAAGACTAAACCAGGAAGAAGTCGAATCCCTGCATAGATCAATAACAAGCTCTAAAATTGAGGCAGTAATTAATAGACTACCAACCAAAAGAAGCCCAGGACCAGATAGATTCATAGCCAAATTCTACCAGAGGTACAAAGAGGAGCTAGTACCATTCCTTCTGAAACTATTCCAAACGATAGAAAAAGAGGGACTCTTCCCTAGCTCATTTTATGAGGCCAGCATCATCCTGATACCAAAATCTGGCAGAGACACAACAAAAAAAGAAAATTTCAGGCCAATATCCCTGACGAACATCAATGTAAAAATCCTCAATAAAACACTGGCAATCGAAACCCAGCAGCACATGAAAAACTTATCCACCACGATCAAGTCGGCTTCATCCCTGGGATGCATTCAACATATACAAATCAATAAATGTAATCCATCACATAAACAGAACCAAAGACAAAAACCACATGATTATCTCAATAGATGCAGAAAAGGCCTTCAATAAAATTCAATACCCTTCATGCTAAAAACACTCAATAAACTAGGTATTGATGGAACATATCTCAAAATAATAAGAGCTATTTATGACAAACCCACAGCCAATATCATACCAAATGGGCAAAGCTGGAAGCATTCCCTTTGAAAACCGGCACAAGACAAGGACGCCCTCTCTCACCACTCCTATTCAACATAGTATTGGAAGTTCTCGCCAGGGCAATGAGGCAAGAGAAAGAAATAGAGTGTATTCAAATAGGAAGAGAGGACATCAAATTGTCTCTGTTTGCAGATGACATGATTGTATATTTAGAAAACT